TCCCCCCTCCCTCTCCCTCCCTCCCTCCCTCCCTCCCTCCTTCCCTCCTTTCTTTCTTTTTAATTACCAGAGGGCACATGTGCTTGCTGGAGAAAGACAGACAGGGAGAGGGAGAAAGCCCCCTGCAATGGGAAATGCCGCAATGCCTTCTCCATTCTCCACCCTGTTGGGATTTGAGGCATGCCTGTCCACGTGCCTGACACATTTCCAGGCCACCAAGATGGAATTTCAGATTGCATGGTTGGCTCCGGGGGCTGGCTTTCTTGATCACCAGGCCATGGGGCGGGCCCTGACAGTTAGTTTATTTTGTAAAGTCTTTAATAGTCTCACTAAGAGACAGCTGTAGATGACAGCGTCTGTATATCCCGCACTCATAGCCGTAATATAACTTGGGGTCGGTGAGTAGTTTTCGGCTTACGTATTAGCTGGGGAATTGGTGGTGTCTGTCTAGAGTCTTGTGGTAACTAGGAATGTGCAGGGATTCTGGGCCCAAGAAGGGAGGAGTACCTAGGAGGTGAATTAGTAGGAGGTGCTGGGTGGGGACAGTGAGGGGTTCTGCGTCTTTGGCTCTTTTTGTGGTATGGGGGTGCAGGGGTTAATGAATGTATGTGAATTTTTCTGTGACAGGTGTTGAGGACAATTGACAGAGATGGCTATCATAACCTTTTTTTTTTTTAAGAGACGTTTTTTGCTATAGGGCGCATGTGCTCACTGGAGAGACAGGGAGAGAGACAGTGAGAGATCACCCCTGGGGCGATGGCCATGCTGCAGTCTTTCCCTTCTCCTCTATTCTCCCAGGGTTTGGGGCACGTGCACGTGTGTGGTTCAAGCTGCTGGGTCCGGGACTTGAACCACAGTGGCCATGCAGGGTCCAGAGCCTTAACCACTACACTCTACACTGCCTGCTGGCCCCACCTATAGTAACATTTTTATACAAGATTACCTTAAACTTACTATAGTATAACTTATGAAATACAAGTAGTTTTAGTGCATAGAAATCTTTTTCAAAATGTGCTTTGAGATCTCTTGATGTAATAAATTATATATGAAATGCAGATAAGCAGAGCACCATTTCAGTTCCGCTTCTGACGTGGCGTCAGGGTTACCTGATCTCTTAGACACCACTGCAGTGTTTGAAAGTTTTTTGCTGTCGGGCCCATGCACTCACAGGAGACAGAGAGAGGAAGTGAAAAGCACCTCTGAGGGTTTGGGGTTCTCCATTCTCTGAGGGTTCTCCATTCTCTGAGGGTTCTCCATTCACCTCTCAGGGTTTGGGGTATGCGTGCACGTAAACCTGGCGTGTCTTTCCATCTGCTGGGTCTGGGACTTGAACTGTGTAGGCGGCCATGTGGGATTCAGCCACTTTTACCTCCACCATCTGCTGGCCCAGCTCCATTACATTTTAAATTAAAATTCTTTACCCACATAGTAAGTTCACAAGTTGTATGGGAAATGAGATTTTTGTGACAGCATTGAATGACAGGGCTGTAAACTTTGGTTTTATTTCATAGTGTTAGCTTTTTCTTCTAGAAAGGAAACAGCAATCTAAGATGACATGCCATAAAGCGTTACGTGGTACAGATACATACTTTCCATTTTGGTGAGGTGTCTCTGAAATAGCCTCTGGCTTAGTAAGGACTGTTCGAGCTCCTTCGTGTTTTATTTTGTACACAAAGAATTAGACATTTTGACTACATTAGTGTGCTGATGTTTAGTCTATTAGATCTTAATTGCAATACATTTTAAATTAAGTTTAATTTTATCAATGCAGTGAGTTACTTTTTCAATTTAAATTTCTTTTCAGCTTTACTTTGAACTCTATAAGAACGTGACATGTTAGTGTGACCAAATTATTTTTAAATAGTCTTATAATTAAATTTTTTTTCCATAGAGGAGTAAAGGAATGTCCTAGGAAATGAAGTTTGAATAGCGTATTATAGAACTTCAAATTCAGTCTAGACAGAAGTTCACTGACTGTCAGTAAAATGCTATTACCTCATTAAAGTGACTTTTCCATCCTCCTCCTTTAGAATCCAGCAACTATCACAAGAATACTCCTTAGCCACTTCAACTGGGATAAAGAGAAGCTGATGGAAAGGTAAGGAGCCGAGCCGTCAGCTCTGTGCTCAGCAGTGGCGCAGGACGCCTGCGGGAGCAAGTATGGAGCTGGCCGTCAGCGTGTGAGCAGACCATGTGCAAATAGTAACTGCTTTATTATTTTTTGTAAATTTTGCAATAAATTTAGTGTTAGGGAATTTATGCACAATGTTTCCTAGTTTTTAATTCTGAAATGAAGTAGGGCTCCATTTCGGTTTGTTTTAGGTATATCCTCTTGAGTTAAAATACTGGGGCCCGCATGGTGGCATAGGAGGTTAAGGTGCTGGACTCCTTCATGACCACCCGCGGTTTGAGTCCCAGACCTGACAGCTCACCTTCTAACTTTCCTCCTCTTTCTCTCCCTGGTGAGTGTGAGTGCCCTATAGCAAATGGAAAAAACAAACAAACAAATAAATAAATATTTATTAAAAAGGGAGTAATAAACAAGCTAAAATAGATTTGCGGAAAAGCGCTCTACATTCTTGGAGTATGTGAATAAGATTTTTAATTACTTTGAAAAATTCCTTTCTTCCTTTTTTTTTTTTTTTTTTGAGAGATTTTTGCTATAGGGTGTAGGCTCACTGGAGAGAGAGAGACAGAGACAGAGAGACAGAAAGCAAGAAATCACCTTCGAGGGGATGGCCATGTTGCAAACCCCTTCCTCTCCATTCTCCTCTTGGAATCCTGGGCATGCACACGCACCTAATAGTATGACTTCTAAGCCGCTGGGTCCGGGACTTGAACCGCGGCTAGGGACTATGTGGGAATCTAGCAATGTAGCCATTATGCCATCTGCTGGTCCCTGAAAGATTTCTTAATCATAGACGTTTAAACTTATTTTAGGTGTATTAGTGGCATTTATTTAGTGAAAACAAAATGGAGAACTTGCCTAAGGTTTTCTGGCTATAACAAGCTGTTGGGACTAGTTTTCTGGTTTCTGGACAGTATTCCATTCCATTAAGTTTTTTAAAAATACTGTTTCTCTGAAAATCTTTCCAGTTCTAAAAGGCAAGAAATTACTGGGACAGGAGAATGGCAGTATTAATGCCATTTTAAATCTTTTTCTGTGTCTTAGATGGGAAATTTGGGATACTTGCTAAGGTGGTAATATGCCAACTTACATTTATTCTATCAGCCTTACTGTATTAATGATCCTACTTTTTTTTTTTTTTTTTAAGAATTATTTTTATTTAACTTTATTTTAATTTGACAGAGAAAGTGAGAAAGCAAACCCCCAGGTCCGGGACTTGAACCGCAGTTGGCTATGTGGAAATCCAGTGCCCTTAACCACCATGCCACCTGCTGACCCCAATGGTGCTTTTTTTTCCCCCCCTTAAGAGATTTTTTACTATAGGGCATGTATGCTCACCAGAGAAAGAGAGACAAAAAGCGAGAAACCACTCCCTAGGGGGAATGGCCATGCCGCAATCCCTTCTCCTCTATTCTTCTGTTGGGATTTGGCACACATGCTCACACACCTGGTGTGAGTCTCAGCCACTGAGTTCAGGACTCAAACTGTGGTTGGCTACGTGGGAGTCCTGAGTCGTAACTGTGAGGTCATCTGCTGGTCCCGGTGCTACTTTTAATAAAGTACAGCTAGAGATTGGGAATTGAAAAACCAGATATTAAATGGAAACTATTTCCCATTTAATTTTAAAACTCAGAGAGTGCTTTCTTTCTTTTTTCTTTTGCTATAGGGCACATGCACTTGCCAGAAAGACAGAGACAGAAAGCGAGAAATCACCCCGAGGGGGATGGCCATGCCACAATCCCTTCTCCTCCATTCTCCTCTCAGGATCTTGGACACGCATGCACACACGCCCGGTGTGAGTTTAAGCCACCGGGTCCGGGACTCGAACCGCGGTTGATAATGTGGGAGTCCAGCAACATAGCCATTATGCTAACTGCTGGTCCCAACATTCAGAGAGTGCTTTATAAAACCGGTATTAGATGACAAGACTGTTACCTCCTCACACACCTCATACCCAGCAACATTTTAACAGTAACAATATTAGCTGTCATTTATTGGACTTGCTGTATCAGGCATTATTTCACTTTATCCTCCCAGCAGCTATGTGGGACTTAGAACTGTTATGCCCACCCAGTTGATGTGAAAACTAAGACTTGAAGCTTAAATTATTTATCTCAGCGTTGTAACACGAAGAGTTAGGACTCAAACACAGACTGGATTCCCAAGCTTGTCTTAAACACATGCCGTGTATAGTTTTCTCAGGGCTCATGAAAGATAAAATGCTCCTTAACTGGTTTGACACACCCCCATTCCCCCCCCCACCCGTTTTTGTGGGCCTGACTTTTTTTAATTTGCCACAAGGTCTTTGTACTCACCAAAGAGACAGAAAGCACCCCCTCAGTTGGGCATGGTCACATCATAATTTTTTCTCTTCTGCTTCTTTTTTCCATTTTGTTGGGATTTGGGGCACACGTGCACATGTGTGTGACATATTTCTCAAACTGCTGGCCCTGGGACCTGAACTGCACATTTGGCCATGTGAGAGAGTCCATCAGAGGTAGAATTGTGTGTGTGTTTTCTTTGCTATGGGGCGTGTGCTCCTGCTGGAGAGATGGAGAGAGAAAGTAAGTGAGAAAACAGCTCCCTACCCCGCACGGGCATGGCCCTTCTGCTTCATTCTCCTTGAGGGATTCTGGACACCGGCACCAGCAGGTTTCCTAAGTTGCCAGGCCCGGGACGCGAATCAGTCGGCTATGTAGGCTCCAGCTCCCTTAAACACCACGCCGCCCAGCTGGCCAGTAGCACAGCTTTCATCCTTAAGTTTTAGTCGTCGTTCTGTCCTCAAGATTCTTCCTTACAAGCCAAACAAAATAAGAGAAAATCAGAAGAGCAACAGAAATGCAATCTGCTTTCACACACACACACCCCTTTGTTTGCTACAGCTTATAGCCGTGAAACTCTCCTCCCTCCCCCAAGCAAAATAACTGTGCCCCTGCTTTAATCAGTTAGCAGTTCTCCCTGTAGAAGGTCAGGTTTTTGGAGCGCTCATACAGTGAACTGTTGCTGAGCCCTCCTCCTTTCTGTTTAAATAATGCAGGTACTTTGATGGAAACCTGGAGAAGCTCTTTGCTGAGTGTCATGTTATTAATCCAAGTAAAAAGTCTCGAACACGCCAGATGAATACAAGGTCGTCAGCGCAGGATATGCCTTGTCAGATCTGCTACTTGAACTACCCTAACTCGGTGAGTATCTGGTAGTTCAAGGCCAGCACTGACTATTTCAGGGAAAGATCAACTTCCATGACTTCAACAGATGGGGACCTATCAATATACGGGGAAGATAAGAGAAGGAAGAGAAAGAGTAAGGGCTTGGTTACCCCAGGACCCCCGGCGCCTGTGTGTGTGTGTGTGTGTGTGTGTGTGTGTGTGTGTGTTTGCTATAGGGTGCGTGCACTCGCTGGAGAGACACACAGAAAGAGAGATTATTCCCCTGTCCCCCAGTGGGGATGATGGCCACACTGCAGTCCCTTCTTCTCTGTCCTCCTCTCAGGATCTCAGCATGCACACATACGCGTGGTATGAGTGTGGAGCCGCTGGGTCCTGGACTCAGATTGTGGACTATGTGGGAGTCCGGAGATGTAACCACTCTGCCATCTGCTAGTCCCCCATGTGTTTTTTTAACAGCAGTTTCTCAAATTCTTACACACCTAAATCAGCTGGAGTTTATTTTGCCACCTTGAGGAGAACTATGTAATAGGTAGGCAGTGAGTGGAATTGTCATTCAATTAAAGTGGATTTAAAGTTCTACTTATTGTGCTTCGCAGGCCAGCCTCTCACTAAACAAGCGCATCTTTGGGAGATTTTTGATGGGAAATCATTAGGCATTCAAATTACAGTACTGATTTGGCTCCTTCTGACTTCTTTTTGTTTGCTGATCTTAAAAAATCGTTTACAGACATCCAATTTTCTTCATTTAACAATGTAACAATGACTGTACTGACGCGGTAAAAGTCTCAGGACTCTTAGTACTTCAGGGATGGACTGGTCAGTTGGTATCATCACTTAGAAAAGTGTCTTGAAATCGATGGATCATGTACTGTTGAAAAATAGTTCTCATGTGAATTTTTATAACGCCAGAGGGCGCATGCCCTCGTAAGAGTGAGGGCGGGGAGGGGGAGCGAGCGAGTGTGAGCACTTGCCCCGGGGACATGTTCATACTACAGTCTTCCTTCATTTCTCCATCTCATTCTGGCATGTGTATGCACACGTATCTGGCATGTTCTTCAAGCTGCCAAGGCTGGGCCTCCAATTAGGGCCAGCATTGAGGGATTGGCTCCCAAAACGTAACATCTAACCCTGCACTAGGGGGTACCCTCCTGTCCCCCTTCTTGCCACAGTAGGCATGCACTTGTCAGAGAGAGGTAAAGTTAGAAATCACACCCCAGGGCGTTGGCCATGCTCAGTCTCTTCTCCATTCTCAGCTTTTGGGCACACACGCTCCTGCTGTGTTTTACAGGCCGTTGGTCTGGGACTCAAACTGCAAAGCTGGCCATGTGGGGTCCAGCTCCTTAACCACTGTACCACCTGGCTGGCCTGATCTCCTATGTTTTTAATTTTTTATCTTCTAATTACATTTTTTCAAAATTAATTTAACTTTTTATTCATTCACCTATTTTACTTTGATCAGGCAGAGACAGAGTGAGAGAGAGAGGAAAGTTAGAAAGCAAGCCGCAGTCGGCCATGTGGGGGAGTTTAGCACCCTTAACCACCACACCACCTGCCGGCCCCCTAGTTTCATTTTTTTCAGGACTTTTTCGAAGTCCCCTTGTATTTTACTGTTTATATCAATAAATAATGGGTTTCTGTGTGTCAGTAAAGTTAGACACACTAAAAACTTCAACTGGGACAAAATATTTTTCATACTTAAAATGACCAATTTCTTTTTTTTAAAAAAAGGATGAATTATTTTTCACATGAGGTTTGCCAGAGAAAGACGGAGAGAGAGAGGGAGAGAGAGGTGAGAAGGCAAGCCACCAGGTCCAGGACCTGAATCGCAGTTGGCCATGTGGGGGTCCAGCGACCGTAACTACCATGCCACCTGCTGGCTCCCACCACAATTAATTTTAGAACTTTCTAATAAACCCTCAAAGAAAGTCTGTACCCTTGGTGTACTCATTTCCTTCGAAAGCCCCCCAAGCAGCCCAGAATAGCCATTCATCTCTTCTTTCTCTGTGGACTGCCTGTTATGGACCTTACACAATGGAATCAGGCAGTTCGTGGTCTCCTGTGATCTCTTCTCTCACTTAGCATAAAGCCTTCTAGGTCCCTCCCTGCAGATGGCGCCATTGCTTCCTCCCCTTCTGGGGTGGAGTCCTGTCTCCTCATGTGTCTGTTCCTTGCTTCATTCTCCGACTAGGGCATCCAGATTGTTTCCACTTGTTAGCTAGTAGGAGCAGTGCTGCCCTGAACCCGTGTATCAGTTTGTGTGGGTGTATGTTTTTATTGCTTTTGAGTAGGACTGGTGGGTCCTATGTAACTCTGCTTTAATGTTAGGCTCTACCTGATTGAATTTCCAAAGCTGCTGCATATTTTCTTTTCCTATCACAGTCTTGCCTGCCCTCCCTCCTGCCCTCCCTCTTTCCTTCTTTCCCTCCCTCCCTTCCTGCTGTCCTAGTGAGTGTGCAGTGCTATCCTACCGTGGTTTTGATCTACATTTCCATTATGGCTAATGATTTTGAGTATTTTCTCATGTGTCTATTGGTATATAATCAATTCTTAAATTTTATACAGACTTCTCACTGTTGCTCATCCTAAAATTTGTAAAGATATGTCATGGATGCATTTCTCACTAATGAGGTATTTTGTGTTCAGTGTAAAGAAGTTCATTTTAGGAGCTTGTCTATTCTTGTCAAATTGTGAATTTTGGCTGCTGAGAAATGACTAAGAGAACCTTACTGAGTGTCTGTTGCACTGATTTTTCCAGTAACATCTTTGTTAAGTTCTTTTTCTTTTTTTTTTTTTTTTTGTTATTGTCATTGCAGTATTTCACTGGCCTTGAATGTGGACATAAGTTTTGTATGCAGTGCTGGAGTGAATATTTAACTACCAAAATAATGGAGGAAGGCATGGGACAGGTAAAGAACCCAATATACTTTTCAGTTTTGTCCAACTTCCTGTAGTCTTTAGAGCCTTGCACAAATCAAAAAGAACATTTTTCTAGATTAAAATAACTAGAAGGTAACTAGACATTTTATTTACACTGTTGCATTTTTAAAGCTCTGATGTAGTGAAGTTTTCTAACAAGTATCAATTTGTGTTTATCAGGCTAAACTCACTGGACAGTGTTGTCACGTACCCTTTTTTTTGGAGAGGTTTTTGCTATAGGGCACTTGCGCTTGCCAGACAGACAGAGAGAGACATAGAGACAGAAAGTAAGAAATCACCCCCCAGGGGGGATGGTCACACCGCAATCCCTTCTCCTCCATTCTCCTCTCGGGGTCTTGGGCACGCACGCACATGCGCCCGGCGTGAGTTTTAAGCCACCGCATCCGGGACGCGAACCGCGGTCAACTACGTGGGAGTCCAGTGACATAGCTATTACGCTAACTGCTGGTTCCCAGTGTTGTCAGATATCTTGTAAGGGGCTGTCTGGAATCACATAAATGACTCTGGATTCCCCAGCACCTAGCAGTGGGTGAACATGCTGTCACAGTACTGAATGAAGACACAGTTACGTTCCAATCTTTTTCAGACCATCTCGTGTCCTGCTCATGGCTGTGATATCTTAGTGGACGACAACACAGTTATGTAAGTATTTTTGATCGATTCTGCTTATTGAGTATTGGTTAGTTTGATAAACCAAATTAAGTTTCACTCAGCACTTCAAAGACGTGAAACTTTTAAAAAGTCTTGGGCCAATCCCATGGCCTAGATCCCATATGGTCAACAGACTACACACAAAAATCTATGATTGGTCTTGGGTAATTGTCTATAGAGAAAGGTGTGTCTGGGGGCCAGCAGGTAGCTGGTGGTTCAGGCCCTGGACTCCCACATGCCAACCACGGTTCAAGTCCCAGACCTGGAATCTTGAAAATCACACTGGGCGTGTGTGTGTACATGTTCAATGTCCTGGGGGGAGATTGGAGGAGAAAGGATTGTGGTGTGGCCATCCCCCTTGGGGGAAGGGTGTGATTTCTCTCTTTCCGTCTCAGGTGAGCACATGCACCCTATGGCAAACACTTAAACAAATTCAGTAAGGTCCGTCTGTATTTAGGTACTGGGATTCGAAGGTAGTGAAGTAAAAGCATCATGGGCTTCAGTGAGTAGATGTCTTAACCTAGTGAAGCCGTCAGCTGACTTGGCCGAGAAAGTTCAGAAAGCTCACTGATGCTTCTTCCTCGGCCTGAGTCTCGTGTGGCTTATTGAGGGCACACTTGCTGTTGATCAGCTCAGTGTGATTGTGGCCTGTCTCCCGTTATCACTTTAGGCGGGGAGAACTAAGCCATGTGCTGCATTAGTAGCCTCGCTCTTTCGTCTTTTCCTGTCCCCTGAACATGTGCCCTTCATCGATGCATCCATCTCACGAGCGCAGATCCATCAGTACATTTCATCAGTTGAGATCTTTTCTCCATCCCGTTCCTCGAGAGCCCACTTACTAGCACATGTTCACAGGGGAACAAAAACATTAAGAGCGTATCTTCTAAGAGGTTCACAGCTATAAGTACCTACACTGCAGGAGTCGAGGTTTTCCATATAAAGGATCGTGTGGATAAGGTACTGTTAGAGAGAAGGGGATTATTCTGCCTGGGGAGGCTTTATTTTGGGAGTAACATGAAAGAAGTAAAACTCGGAGTGGAGGGAATGAAGAAAGAGTGCCACTGATTTAAAAAGAAGTTAAATTTTCCAAGCACTCTGCGACCGTTAGAGCGCAGAGTAGGCTGTTATTGGAGATGAGGAGTTTGACACTTGATAATGGACTCTGTCACAGGATGTCAAGACTGACTAAGACTCAGTTTAGAAAGAGAGCCTGGACGGCATGCTGGAGGCTGGTTAGAGGGGGGTGGCGCTGGGCAGTGAGACGAGGTTGGAAGGCAGGCGCTGCAGTCTGCAGTCCGAGGCGACCGGCTGGCTCTCCCCCCCCCTTCTGCAGTAAGAGAGTCTCCGCCGCCCAGGCCTGCTCTGTCCACTCTGAACTTTACACAGTCATCTTTTTCCTCTCCTGTTGCTGAAACGCTGCTCCCTAGTGTCCTGTGCAGTCCTCTCTCTTCCTGCTCACACACTTGTGCACTGCCTGGCACGTGCTGGAAAGCCTGTTTGTACCTGCAGCTCAGATCTCTGCTTGGAACTTGGAACCTGTACATCCTACCTCTTCGGCGGCATCTGCACACGTGTGTCCCCCATGCCTGTCCTGTGCAGCCTTGCCGCCACCAGCTTACTGTTTTAGCATATATGCATGAGAGATTAGAGGACTGCCTTCCACTAGGGGAGCTGCCCTGGAAATGAGGGAGCAGGCCTCAGCTCACTGCTGCCCAGAGTGGGACTTGCCCTGTGTACACCTGGGTCTGAGCACAGAAGGTCACTTTGGTTTACTTCCTGGTTTTCATACAGACCAGAGGAGAAACCCTGGCCCAGCAGCAGTGTCTGACCTTCGCTCTCAGCAGTCTTGGCGGCCCTGCCAGGCCCAGGCAGCTGCTCAGTTTAGGGTCACCTCTGAGAAGTCGTCAGGGCTTGTTACGTCAGAGACACTGTTTGGGAATCAGGGCTCCGATTTGGGTCCAGTGCTTTCCTTTTTCACTGATACAAAACCACGTCCTACAACACTCGCCATTCTACATAATCTGGGGGCTTTCCGTCCGCTCGTCATGCTGTACAGCTGTCACCACCGCGTGAGTCCAGAGTATTCTTATCACTCCGTATCCATTAAGAGTCCCTCCCATCCCCTTGTTCCTAGACCTGAGCGACCTTTATCTCCTTTCTGTGTGTAAGGGTTTGTTATGGACACTCCCTGTACGTGGAATCGTGTGTCGTGGTCTTTCTTGACCAGCTTTGCACTTAGCACAGTGTTTCCAAGGCGTGTTCACGATGTAGCAGGACTCAGCGTGGCGTTGTTGGGTGAGGTCCATTGTGTGGGTATTTTCTGCTTTTTGTGGAAACGTCTGTGTTGTCATATGAACATTCCGTGTACAAGTCTTATTTTAATCTCTTTACGTGTATACACGCCTAGGAGGAACATTGCTGGCCAAAAATACAGGTATTAAGCGAATGTCAGGTAACTGTCTGATTGTACCTGTGGTGTGTTCTGTACGGAGATAGGTGTGCTGCCATGAGAACTGAGGGCCTCCATCTCCACTGTGCAGGAGGGGTCAGGAGAGCTCTCCCTGCGTGCGTGATGGTGTGAAGTAACAGAGTATTTAGGGAGTGCTTGCTCTTTGCCATGCCCGGTCCCACTGTCCCACCCAGCTCTTCGTTTCTGCTCTGTGTTTGCAGATTGGTCACCTGAGGAGTGGGGAGGCTGGAGAAAGTGTCCTCAGTGCTAGCTAGTGAGTGGTGAAGCCAGTATTCCAGTCGAGGCTGCCCCACCCGAGAGCCCCCCGGGATCTGCACCTCCCTTTCTTGCCGAGGACGTGGCTCTGTTCAGGAGCCTCTGGAGAAGGGTGATTTTTCTTTTCAAGAAAGGGGAACATGGCCGTAAAAGTGGCCCAGGGCAGGATGGGTTTTGTGGAAAAAGAGCAGTAGGTGAAGAAGCTCGAGTTAGACGGGACCAGTGTGCAGAAATGACTGTTCTTTTGAAAAACTTTGCTGGGGTTGGGCTACATGAATGTCTGTATAGTTCCTGGCTTTGTAAGCAGTTATTCTTTTCTCCTCTCCTTCTTCCTTTAACTCCATTTTGTTAGAAAATCACACTCAGGGGTGTTCACCATGAAACTACTGAAACTTAAGCTTCAAGATTCCTCACTTTCACGGACTCCTGTGAGTTCTAGAAAATGTTGTGAATTATAGATTGTTCTAGGTGGACAAGGGAAGTCAGTTTGTAGTCAGTATGTATCTCTAGTAAATTGCCACGAATTTTCAGGAGAAGGTGGGCCTCAAAATTATATAGCTTTGAGGCTGGCACTGTAGCCTATTGATGAAGGGAGCCTCCTCCTCCTCCTCCTCGGCCAACCATGGTTCAAATCCTGGCCCTGGGGGCTTAAAAACACGGCGGGCACGTGTGTGTGTATGTATGCTCAAGATCCTGACAGAGTGGAGAAAAGGAAGCAAAGGAATTGTGGCTTGACCACACCCCACAAGTGGGGTTCTTCGTCCTCCTGCCCTCTTTGTCTCTGTCTGGCAAGTGCACTTGACTGCTCGGTATGAAAGAAAAAAAGATAAAATTAAATAACTTTGGATGTCACAAAGTTAAGCTCAATTCCTTACCATCTCTGTTGGCATCCTCTTCCTCGGTTCACACCCTGACTCTGGGAGTCTGAAGGGAGGTGGGTGAGAATTGCTGTCTAAAGGCTTCGGGAAGACTCTGGAAAGGACCTAAACTTGACAGGAACTGTTAAGTCGTTAGGATATAATATTAATACAACGGAGTGGAAAAAAAGCACTCAAGAAAAGAGACATGAGGGAAATGGCTACCAAGATAAAGCTATAGACGCTGTGACATGATTGTTTTCATTAGCATAGTTATGTTTGTTGGTAACCTTTGTGCATTTCAACATTTTCACTCTAGAGCAGTTTTATCACCATAGCACAGACAATTTCAGGGATTGTATTTTATAAATGTGGAAGATATTCTTGGGTGAAAACTTCCCAATAAATTATTTTTGTTCTTGGTTTTAGGCGCCTGATCACAGATTCAAAAGTTAAATTAAAGTATCAACATTTAATAACAAATAGCTTTGTAGAGGTAAGTGGTTTATGTTTTTCTTCTTTTAATAGAAGAGATTCTGTTTATTAATGGAAATACTACTTTTTGAAAAATACAATTTGTTGACAGTAACACCTATCGTAACCGTGGGTCACAGACTTTACGGATGATGCCCAAGCACTTTGAGTCTCAGAGGAACGTAGCGAACTAATAAGTACATGTCTCTCATAGGTCTTGGGCTTTTATATTTAAATTATTTTTACAGTATTCCTTTTAAAATTCTTGATCTTTGGCAGAGAATCGTAGTAGATAATTAACACGCCATGTTTAACCATTTTTGAGTTCTAACTCTGCTATCTCTCTGCTTGTTCTAGGCTCCATTGCCAGTAAGTCTTGTCAGTAAAGAATGCTGTAGCTACATGTTAAGATCTCTTTCTTAGAGCAGAGGTCGGCAGAGACAGGAAGCCTGTTTTGTAAATGCAAACATGTTGGAGAGCCTGTGCCTCTTGCTCCATGCCTGCTTTTGTGCTGCAGCGGCAGAGACTTTCAGGGCTCGAAAAACCAAAAACCTTTACTCTCTGGCTCTTGAAAGGAGGAATTTGCCAGTCCCCATTTAAGATCATCAGTGTAACTTGGTATTTTAATTCTAGAAAATAATTGTTATTTTTGTTAGAGGCTAAGCTTGGAAACAGCGTATTTTAGGAATAGTACTTCTTTCTTTTTTTTTTTGGAGAGGTTTTTGCTATAGGACGAGTGCGCTCGCCAGACAGACAGAGAGACAGAGAGACAGAAAGCGAGAAATCACCCCCTGGGGGGAGATGGCCTTGCCGCAATCCCTTCTCCTCCATTCTCCTCTCGGGATCTCGGGCACGCATGCACACGCGCCCGGCGTGTTTAAGCCACCGGGTCCAGGACTCGAACCACGGTCGGCTATGTGGGAGTCCAGCGACACAGCCATTACTCTAACTGCTGGTCCCTAGGAATAGTACTTCTTGAAGTAGGCAGTGGGCTTAGAAGTCCCAGTGCAGAGCCGTGTTTTGTTCCGTAACGAATGTACTTGGAAAGTCAGTCCCTCACTGGGAAGCTGGATGCAGGCTGCCTGAGCTAGAGGGGCTGGCTTTTGCTGTAGAGGCTTTTGAAGACGAGGGCAAAGTGGCACATATATCCCTCAGCTTCTGTCAGTGTGTGTGGTGTTCTCTAAGCACCTTCCCTGACCGGAAACATGCCTGGCTTTCTTACGTCTTAGGAAAAGTACCCTGAAGTAGAACCGTGAAGAAACCATGCTAGTTGATGATCACACAGTGGGTAATTGAAGTTTCTCAGTGGGTAGTTTAGGTAGGGCAAGCGATGATTCCTGTCTTTTATAAAACAGAAGCACTGCTGTGGAAGACTACAACAGGCATCTATGTGATCTGTCTACAAGCGTGTCACCTGTCACCTCACCCTCGCCCCTTCCCTGGGAAACGGCATCAGTGACGGCTTGGTGTGCTAGGACATCTCGGGTCGCGATCTCAGCGCTGCCATTTGTAACTTCCTACCCTGTGTTACAGTGCAATCGACTGCTAAAGTGGTGTCCTGCCCCAGATTGCCACCACGTCGTCAAAGTCCAGTACCCTGACGCTAAACCTGTCCGCTGTAAATGTGGGCGCCAGTTCTGGTAAGCGGGTGACTTCCCCAAGCTGGAATCATGCACATAGCTGTTACATCTGTTCTGTTTATTCTTGGTTGTAAAAGAGTAGAGAAAAAGCCTCAGTCAGAGAGAAGGGTGATGCTGGTTTACAGTAGGGCATACTTCTTTCAAGTGAGAATTGGGTGAAAAAGTCACATCTGAAGTCTTCTCTTTCCTTGAGCTCTAACATGGACATTTGGGTGGTCGTGGTGGTGGTGAGGATTGTAGCTATTAATCCTGTTTTTCCTGTGTGCTTGCTTCACCATAGCTTCTATGGGGGCAAACTCACAGATCTGGGATGAGAACTCAGTGCTTCTTTCTGGTTGATTACTTACTTTGTTAAATTATGTTTGGTTCCATGTGGCTCTTGCTCAGTTTTCAAATAATCTCTTAGAAGATAAAATATACAAGATTTAAAACTTTTCTTCTTTACTCTAACAAGTTTTAATCTACCTCTTAGAAAATTGGCAGGTACATTTGGTGATTGGATGTGCTTTTTTTCTCTCTGTGTTTGTGTGTGCGAGAGAGAGAGAGGGAGAGCGCACGCGCAAGTGCGCACAAGAGAGGGAGTTCTGGGAACCAGCAGTTAGTGTAAATGGCTATGTCGCTGGACTCCTACGTAGTCGACCGCAGTTCGCGTCCCGGACCCGGTGGCTTAGAACTCACGCCGGGCGCGTGTGCGTGCGTGCCCAAGATCCCGAGAGGAGAATGGAGGAGAAGGGATTGCGGCGTGACCATCCCCTCTGGGGGGTGATTTCTCACTTTCTGTCTCTATGTCTCTGTCTTTCTGGCGAGCGTGCGCGCTCTATAGCGAAAACCTCTCCAAAAAAAGAGAGAGGGAGTTTTTTTGCTATAGGGCATGTGTACTTGCTGGAGACACAGAAAGCGAGAAATCACCCTGCACATGCTTTACCTTTCACGTCACAGTAGGACACAGCACAGTTCAACCAAGCTCTTTATAGGAAGAATGGCCTTTTTTCCAGTTTCCAGTATCATGCTCCTTGTTTTTACCTGAGGCCCATCAAAATGGCCTCTACCATCCATAGAGAGATTTTTGCTATAGGGTGTGTGCACTCATCAGAGAGACAGAAAGACAGAAAGTGAGAAATCACCCAGTGGGAGTGGCCACGCTGCAGTCCCTTCTCCTCTTGAGATCTCGGGTATGCACTGCACACACCCAACATGAGTTTTAAGACACTGGATCTAGGACTTGAACCACCAGTGGCTATGTGGGAATCCAGCGACATAACCGTTATGCCATCTCCTGATCCCTCTTTTTTTTTTTGGGGGGGTTTTTTGCTATAGGGGGGTGCCAGACAGACAGAGAGAGACATAGATACAGAAAGCGAGAAATCACCCCCCTGGGGGGATGGTCACGCCGCAGTCCCTTCTCCTCCATTCTCCTCTCGGGATCTTGGGCACAGGCGCCCGGCGTGAGTTTTAAGCCACCGGGTCCAGTACGCGAACCGCAGTCGACTACGTGGGAGTCCAGCGACATAGCCATTACACCAACTGTGCTGATCCCATCCCTCTTTATTTTTAAGTTTATTTATTTCCAGAGGGAGAAGGAGAGAGAATCATCCATATTTCTCCTAACCTCCTTAGGGGTGTCTGTTTGCATTGGGAAGAGCGAAAGCCCAGGGACTAGTGCATCCCCACGGGGCACAGTCACCACAGTCTCTTCCTCCTCTGGAGATTTTGGGAATGCGTGCTTATGCACCTGGCGTGTTTCTCAAGTCTCGGTCTAGGATTTGAACCACATAATTGACCATGTGGGACCCAGCTCTCTTAAATCATCAGGCACATAGGCTGCCCTTTAATACATTTTGTTTATGACCACTGGTTGTTCTCTAAGATGATTGAGTCTTTTTCTCTGTCTCTCTCTCTCTCTCTCTTTTTTTTTTTTTTTTTTAACTTTTTTATTTTTTTAAGTTGACCAGAGAGAGAGAAGGAAAGTGTGAAAGCAAGCTGCCAGGTCCAAGATTCAAACTGCAGTTAGCTGTGTGCGAGTCCAGCCGCCTTAACCACCACTCCACCTCCCGGCCCCATCTCTGTATCTCTTTTTCTCTTTCTGAGCTCTCACCAGAACTGTCTGTTTACATGATGTGGCCATTTTCTGTAATAGTTTGCACCTCCAAATTCTTCCAACCTCTAACTCATAACTGAATTTCCAAAGCAGCTTCCACATTTAAGGTTTTATGGCACCCTGCCTCTTGGTGCCAGTACGTCTTTTTTTTTTTTTTGGAGAGATTTTTTGCTATAGCGCGTGTGCGCTTGCCCAAAAGACAGAGAGAGACAGACAGAAAGCGCGAAATCAGCCCCTGGGGGGATGGCCACGCTACAATCCCTTCTCCTCCGTTCTCCTCTCAGGATCCTGGGCATGCACGCACACGTGCCCTGCATGAGTTTAAGCCACAGGGTCCGGGACTTGAACTGTGGTAGAATACATGAGAGTCCAGCGACATTGCCATTAAACTAACTGCTGGTCCCAGTGCCAATATGTCTTAATCTGTCCAGACTGTTATAGCAAAATAGTACCAATTAGACGGTCTAGAAACAGCTGATTTTTATAAATAAATATATACATCCACACACACACACACACACATACATATATATAATTTGGATTTTTTTAATTTAATTTTATTTTTCATTCATTTATTTTAATTTGACCAGAGAGAAAGAGAGAGAGAGAGAGAGAAAGTGAGAAAGCAGGCTACCAGGTCCAGGACTTGAACCGTGGTCAGCCATGGGGGAGTGTCCAGCACCTTAACCACCATGCCACCTGCTGGTCCCCAAATTCGGATTTTTTTGAAACATTAGTTGTGCTGTTAACTTTGGAAAAAGTGTCCCAGTTTACTGTGTTGAGTTCGCATTGTACAGAAATTAACAGCTATGCTGGTCTAGAAATTTTTTCTGTTTCTACAGGGGTAAACACACTGGATTAAATGTGTAAGGCTTTATCCGTGTGGGTTTGATTACAGAAACTGCATTGGGGAGATATTTCTCTGTCTCTTTCTGTAAGCACACGTACCACTTGGCAAATTTTTTAAAAAAGGAGAGTATTATTTCTTTCATCAGAAAGGGAGGGTGGGCTAACTCCTCGACTCAGAAGAAGCCTGATCCAACGTGTGACAGTGGTTCAACTCCCCAGCCCTGTTAGCCTGAGAGAGTCCAGGCTCAGATATGGGTCTTGGGACCCGGCAGGCTTCCAGAACTGGAGGAGAAAGGGGCTTGCGGTGTGGCCAGGCCCTCTGGAGGGTCCTCTCTCTCGCTCTCGTTTGCTCACTCTCACATGCATGTATGTACACACTGTCATGAATAATGAGAATATTTGTAAAATACATGGCTATTTTGGGGTGACTTGGTGATTTAGGCAGCTGGATCCTACATGGCCAACTGTGTCGTTCCAGACTCAGCCCAGACAGCTTAAAAAACACACCAGGGATGGGAACCAGCAGTTAGCGTAATGGCTATGTCGCTGGACTCCCACGTAGTTGACCATGGTTCTTGTCCCGGACCCGGTGGCTTAAAATCACACCAGGCACATGTGCGTGCATGCCCAAGATCCCGAGAGGAGAATGGAGGAGAAGGGATTGCGGCGTGACCATCCCCCCTGGGGGGTGATTTCTCACTTTCTGTCTCTATGTCTCTCTCTGTCTGTCTGGCGAGCACACGCACCCTATAGCAAAAAATCTCTCCAAAACAAAAACAAAAACAAAAACAAAACACACCACACCACGGGGACCAGCAGATGGCATATGGTTACATCATTGAACTCACACATGGCTGACTGTGGTTTTAGTCCCGGACTCGGCAGCTTGAAACTCATACTGGGCACGTGTACGTGTGTGCCCAAAATCCCAAGAGGAGAATGGAGGAGAACAGGTTGTGGCGTGACCATCCCCCCTGGGAGGTGATTTCTTGCTTTCTGACCTTCTGGCAAGCACACATGCCCTATAGCAAAGGTCTCTCTCAAAAACAAAGCAAAACAAAATGTGACAGGTCTGTGTGTGTGCTTAAAATCCTGAGGGAAACTGGTGGAGAATGGATTGCAGAGTGACTGTTCCCCATGGGAGGTGATGTGCTTTCTTTCTTTCTCTGTCTCTGTCTGGGGAGTACACATGCATGCTTGCAAAATTTAAAATATATATGTGGGTGTGAGTGTATGTGTATGTATGTATATATATATATACATATATACATACATACATACATACACATACACCCCCCTCACATATGTATATAAATATTATGCAAAGATGTAACTTTTTTTGCTCCCACATGTTGTTTACTGTGCATTACTATGAAATCATGCAAGTTACCTACAAGGTCATATGTTAAAGATGAAATATATACCAATGAGGGAACCAGCAGTTAGCGTAATGGCTATGTCGCTGGACTCCCATGTAGTCGACCGCGGTTCGTGTCCCGGACCCGGTGGCTTAAAACTCACACCGGGCGCGTGTGCGTGCGTGCCCAAGATCCCGAGAGGAGAATGGAGGAGAAGGGATTGCGGCGTGACCGTCCCCCCTGGGGGGTGATTTCTCGCTTTCTGTCTCTATGTCTCTCTCTGTCTGTCTGGCGAGCGCACGCGCACTACAGTGAAAATCTCTCCAAAAAAAAAAAAAAGAAAAAAAAATATATACCAATGAAACATTGCTAATACTTCTCAACCTGAGGCACCATGGCAAACATGATGACGAACCTGTCTTCAACGCTTGTCTTTATCAGTTCACACGTGACAAGTACCCACTATGTGCAAGTCCTGATGTACAGTTTAGGTAACTCTAAAGGAGACAGCCATGGTTCCTGTCCTTATATTTGCTAGACATTGAAACTGGTGACGGTGGGGGACTATAAAGCAGGAGAGGGTTGGTTTGTTGACTGACTTACAGAAGGTAGAACTTAATTCTTTCCTTTTTCTCTGTCACTTAACAGCTTTAACTGTGGAGAAAATTGGCATGACCCTGTTAAATGTAAGGTGAGTGTGTCTGGCATTTTCATTCTCAGATAAGACTTAAATGAAAAGCACAGCCATTAGTTTTGTCATCTCATCTGTCCACTGGGAGACAGAAGATCGTTTTGGCCTTTTTATTTCACATGGTCATTTCAGGTCTTCAGTGAGCCTGCCTTAGGATAAGTCACGTTGGTCCTGATTGATTTTTTTTTTTTGGAGAGGTTTTTGCTATAGGGCGCGAGCGCTCGCCAGACAGACAGAGAGAGACATAGAGACAGAAAGTGAGAAATCACCCCCCAGGGGGGATGGCCACGCCGCAATCCCTTCTCCTCCCGTCTCCTCTCGGGATCTTGGTCTCGCACGCACACGCTCCCGGCTTTAGTTTTAAGCCACCGGGTCCAAGACGCGAACCGCAGTTGACTACGTGGGAGTCCAGCAACATAGCCATTACACTAACTGCTGGTTCCCAGGTCCTGACTGATTTTTGAATAGCCATGATGAGGGCACCTGTCCTGACAGGCATTATAGTTAGAGAATAACACATCCCAGCTGAGCTGCTCTTAAAGCTTTGGGTTCGGACCAGCAGATGGTGTAATGGCTACATTGCTGGACTCCCATGTAGTCGACCATGGTTCGAGTCCTGGACCTGGTGGCT